ATTGCGAGTCTATTCACTGTTTACTAATCGAAACTAAAAAACAAATGAAGATGTGCAGTGTTTTGTGAATATTTAATGGTAAAAAATTAATAAACATGTATATGCTTGTGTTGTTTTTGTATATAATAAATCAACCGTGCAGTGCACAGAGTAGAAACGATGTCACATATCAAATAGGTAAGATTTGGCTTCTACTGACAAATATTCGTACAAAATATATGATCATCTCCTGAAAAACTGTGACAATGTTTTTTTACAGCTGGTATTTTCGAACAGGAAGCAATTACTCAGCGACTAGCATTCGATGACAGCATGAAAGATGCAAGCTTAGATGATTATAGACTTGAACCGATTATTATACCGCGTTCTAGACCGGATATTTACACAACATGGCGAGATTGTGAGTTGAAAATATTAAAGTTACACTTTTTTGTTGTTTTTTTATACAGAGTAATAATGTTTAATTAACTGCCAAAACCCTAAATGATGCTAATAACAAAAAGAGTGTCAGTTTTTTTCAAACCTTTTTCCTGTAATGTTATTTCAATTTAAATCCACTTTTGTCAAGTAAACAATTCTTCAAAATAATGTGGGTAAACTGTTTTCTTCCATTGCAGTATGTTCGAACAAAATGATGCAACCAATAGCAATAGTTGGTCCTCAAAGTCCATTTAAAAATACAGCAGTAATTGACCAGTGTATTATTTCCAAAATTCCGTATTTACAAGCGACTTGGCAGCCTCCAGAGATAGAATATTTTGAAGATACAACAGTCGATAACAGCACTGAAAGTGACGGACAAGAGGATACGGTAGATTATAAGAAAATGATCATTAATTTTTATCCCGATAGCGACGAGATTTCCACAGCGCATGCTGCATTGTTAAAATATTACAAATGGGAAAATTTCGCTGCTCTTTATGAGGATGAATATGGTATTTTTTCGTTTTCTTCCTTTGGATGGTCGTTCGGATAATGAGTCTGGCGAACTAATGTTGTTTCATTTTTCTATATTTTTCAGGTTTAATGCGTATACAGAAAATTTTAGCAGAATACACAGACCAGTATCCAGTGACTATAAGAAAACTTGAACCCGATGGTGATAACTATAAAGTAAGAAAAAAAAAATCCTTTCACGAATTTGGTCTCCAAAAACCTCTGTTATAATATTAACTAGATCATTTCTTTTCTTTTTTAGGTTTTCAAAGAATTGCAGAACAGTCAAGAAACTCGTTTTTTTATTGATTGTCACGTGGATAATGTTCTGAAATACATGGACATTATAAACATGTTAAATTTAGATGACTTTTATCAGGTATGAATTTCGTTTTTATTATTTTAAATTACATTTACCCTTAAGCGAAAATTAAAAACGGTTCAACTCACGTTTTTATTCATCCCTAATGGCACCGACTAGTTCAAACACTTCGGGGGTCCTTCTTGAGGGCGAGTATTAGTGTGCGAGGCGCGACGTGACCGCGAACAAATGCTAACTAATACTCGCCCTGAAGAAGTACACCCAGAACGATCTGAAACTAGTCGGTGTCGACACCGGAGAGTAAAAGCGTCAGTTAAGACTTTTTAAATTTTCGCTTTTTAAACATTCTTTACATACTTGTTTAAACAATGTAATTACACCTACCCTTTTTCATAATTTGTTATTCTTGCAGCATTATATTTTCGCGTCACTGGACACTTCGATCGTAGCTCATAAGCTTACTGACTACCGATGTAACATAACCTGGCTTAGTATCACAGAATATGACAAGTTAATAGACGCGCAGCACTTCTTAGCCCAGAGAGTTGAACGATGGGCTATCAACACAGTTTCACCACCAGTAACTGACATGCCGGTATTAAAGTATTCATATTTTATCACAATAAGAAAGTCAAAAAATCTACTTACGTTTAAAAAAGCTTTTATAGTTTTTATTTTTAAAATAATTTATTTTCTCTAACTATATATGTAATTTATCAAAATTATTTTTGAGTAACGTAAACTCACCTAATAACGACTACCTAAATCCGCATCCAATACCGACCTATTA